ATTAGGTGATTTCAAACGATTTCCCACTTGGATGTGGCGCAATGAACAAGTTTTGAAATTTATCGAATGGATGAGGCGATATAATGACAAGTTGGAGAAAGAGAGGAAGGAAAGCAATAGATTACAATCTCAAGTTTCTTACGAGAAAGTAGGAAATTTTTTATATTTATTTCATACTTTTTACCATCTTTTCATTTCATTTTTTTTCCTTTCGTTAGGTTGGTTTCTATGGTTTAGACTTCTACTCCTTGTTTACCTCAATGGGTGAAGTAATTCGTTATCTCAAGGGCGTCGATTACAAATCGTATAAAGAAGCTATCAAGGCGTAAATATTCTCTTTAATAATATAATTGAGTCATCGGACCCGTATCTAACCGTTTCGGTGTTTTTTGTTACGAATGTGTAGGTATAGTTGCTTTGACCACTTCAACAGGTCAACCGAAACATATTCATTCGCCAATTATTTTAACATCATGCCATCTTGTGAAAAAGAGGTCATTAGCGTGTTAAGCAATCTCGTGAGAAAGCATGGCGAATATCTTTCAAAGCATTCTGACGAAGAGACTGAAGAGTTGTTTCAGGCCGAAATTAACGCTATGGTTGTTTGCAATGCTGAAGAATATTATCGTTGTATGATGGATGGCGGGGCTGAAGGCTGGAACAAGTAAATCGGTAGTCAAGATTATCGCGTAAAGAGAAATATCCGCTTAAAACCAAACTTCGGTTCATTTTTAGACGTGATACCCATATGATGAATATCCTGCAGATCTTGATAAAGAAATATGAAAGAGCTCTAAAAGGAAAAGAAGCCAAAGTTGTTGTTTGGGTAAGTCACATATTTCTACCAGTAATGTAGATCAGGAAACGTTAATGTCATATTGATATCTCGAATGTAGGCTCATAACAGGTAAATGGGCAGTGGTTTGGATTTTCGGATCTTTAAGATTGCGTATACAAGCTAACCATTAAAATAACGTTAGCCATATTGGCGATGCATCTCAAACGGATCAAGGATGGGCCCGTGGTGAGATTAACATCGGACAACTAGCCCGTGAGCGACTCGGTCATAATCGTGTCTTTAACATTGGGTTCACTACTCACTCCGGAACAGGTATGGTTGTAACCGAGTATTTCATCAATTGTAGCTAGGGACATTAGTTTATGATTTTGCTTTGTACACGACAGTCATTGCAGCTTCGAATTGGGGCGCTTCAAGGGAGGTTAAAACAGGTTGTATCTATTACACACATTTCATTGGTTTTTTCGATATATTTATATACTGTGTGAATTCTAGTAAATCTATCACGGAAAGATTCTGTTGAAAATATTTTTCATAGCATCGCTGGAGAAATCAATGAACAAAACTTTATCCTACCATTTACCAGAATCTCACCGGAGAATAATAAAAAAACACCGATCTCTTCGGACTTGGTTGCAGATCTTGCACGTGAACCTTGCCTACTTCAACGTGCAATCGGTGTAATCTATGCACCACACACCGAACGTGCATCACATTATTATCAAGCAAAGATCTCGAAACAATTCGACGCAGTGATTCATATCGATTGGACGAATGCGCTGAAGCCATTGGATGAGGTCGAAAAAATCGAACCTGAAGAAATTATGCATGAGGTGAAGTCGTTATGAATTATATAATACTATGTACTCAAAGAAACTGACGTGGTTTTTTTTTTTTTGCATAGTTACCTGAAACCTTTCCAACGGGCGAATAATCTTAAAAAGATATACCTAATATTTTTTGCTATTCACATATAGCATTTAGATGTCGACAATATGGCCAATGAGATTGCTTCGATATTATAATTAATTTCGATGTGCCTTTTTAAATTATCGCGCTGCTCTTAGTTTCTATTTTAAGTATGATATAAAAATGGATTGCAAAATGCATGCACCGACCAGCAGGTGGGCGCACCCATCTCTTTAACACGCATCGTTATTATTTTGAAGAAACCAAAGTGTAAAAAAATTTAACAAAAATCCGGATACTTGTTTTCTGCTTACAGATAAGAAAAAAAAATTATATGATATATGATATAATAGATATATGGTATAATGACAATAATAAAAAAAAAAATAATAATAAATATATAAATATTTTAATAATATTTTTTCATTAAAACAAAGAATTGGGAGCTAAAATTAAATGATACAGTAATAAAAAATCGAAATCGAATTCATATGACATGAATGACAGTTAATCAATCTAAACTTTGTTAGCCTAAAAGATTATGTAAATTAAAAAAAGGATCATTTTACAACAAATACATAATACACTAAATGGGAATTAAGTTGTATTAAAATAATGAGATTATAATGTATGAAATTTATTTTCATATAAATAAAAACGAATTCATTTTTGTTTTTATAGCACTGTCGAATGGATAGTCATTTTACTGGTGCACAAGTAATACCATTCGGATAACGGCTGAACTCTTGACCTGTCCCAAGAGTTTGGTAGAACATTCTCAGCATTTCTTGTATCCTGATTTACAAGCTTAAAACCTGATTTTTGGTGGTCATCATATCCCCAAAAAGCGTATCTGAAGATCATGAGGTAACAAGAGACACGTTTTTGTTTCATTTATTTATATTAGGTAGGATTAACAAAGAAAGATTAACAAAGAATAACAAAGAATTTCAATTGCACACGCAACTTTTTTAGCCGAGGAAAATCCGATGCAAAATTTTTTTTGCGTGCGAACGTATTATATAGGCTTCTGTTCAGCTGACACCCTCCAACAAGATATATGGTAAATCTGCGAAGTTCTAATGGTACTGAAAAAATGATTCCTTGTTTGTAAATAATTAAAATAGGTACGTATTAGTCGTTTTCACTCCACGTGGAAGTAGTTATTATTACGTAAAAATTTCTAACGTTTTTTAGTTCGCCAGTGCAGATGCATGCATTATTATTATTTGGTTCCTCGTAAACATACAGTATCTTTTTTTTTTTTTTTAACAGAAAAAAAAAAAAAAAAAACAGTATCGGAATATCTCAGTGAAATAAATCTCGTAATATAAATATCCAGTAATTTGCTTTTTTACAAATTCCTCTTGTTCTTTGGTCCTTAACAAACAGGTAAAGGCCGCTGATTGAGCGCATCACACACATATATAAATCTTTACACAAAGCTTTTATAAATTCCTGTTATGCATCATCACCTCACCCTTATGCCTTTTTCGTATCAATACCTCTAAAACCTTCCTTCTTTCTTTCTTTCTTTCTTTCTTTCTTTCTTCTTCCATTCTTTATACTTACTGACAAGAAGATAAAAAAAATGAGTGATTCATCAACCTCTCAAACTTCCCCAACCGACAACCATCAACAACAACTTGACGAAGATTTGAATTTACATGGATGGGGCCTCGTGGGATCGGATAAGGAGAATCTTCCGATGAACGAACACCAAACTGGTTATTTAACCAACATGTATGCTTGCGAAGTTATACCAGGACTATTTTTGGGAAGGTTGGTATTGTAGAAATTGTTTGACGAGGTTAATGGCATTCATGGAAAGGCTTAATGAACGAGTTAAAGGTCTTTGTCTTTTGAACAACAACAGTAGAATGGCTTCTTCAGACAAAGCTTGGCTGAGGGATCACAATATCACCCATGTACTTACAGTCGCTAAATTTATTCCACCCGCGTATCCGGAGGTTAGTGTTGAAACAAAAAAAAAGTGAACCCTAAATACGTCAATAATTATGATAAGGTCACTTACGCATGAAACTGTATTTAGTCGTACACATATAAAATAATAAATATCCTTGATCACACCAAAGAGGATATCATGAAACACTTTGAAGAAACCTACAAATTTATTCAACAAGCGTTAGACGGTCAAGGAAAAGTTCTTGTTCATTGGTACCTAATAATTATTCTTAATTAAGATGAGTCCGGCTTCTTAACGTTTAATGATCACTTCCTGCTTTCTTTTTTAAGCCAAGCCGGCATTTCACGGAGTCCTACTGGTAAGCAGCTTTTTTGATAGGTCATTGGATAAAATTTTCTTTTTCTTTTTTTTTTTTTTAAAAAAAAATTATTCCATCACAAAATCTATTAAAGTTGTCATGGCGTATCTAATGAAGAGTCGGAAGATGTCTTTTGACCAAGCGTACGAACTTGTCGAGAGTAAACGTCCGCTTATCTGTCCAAACTCGGGATTCCAACATCAACTAAGGTTATATCAAACGATGGGATGTCAGGTAACAAAAAAAAGTCCTAGATATTGGGGGTATATGGCGAAGAGATGGAGTAGAAGAATTTTAGTGTATGTATCTCTCAACTTTTTAACTTTTTCTTCATCATTACCAACTTCGATTACGACATTCACGACATGTTCATTTTTATTGCATGCATAATGTAGTTCGGAAAATCGTGTTATCCTCGACTGACTAAACATTGTCTTATGCGTCCATTCCTCATAATCCATTCCCATTAGTGATCCGGTTATCCTTCATACCGCGCGCTTCCGAGGTCTAAATAACTTCTTTCTCACATCTTATAATTTGTATATATTATGAATGTCGAATTTCGTACTTTAAATGAGGTAATAGCAGAAACGACAAGTGATACATGTGTAACACGTATGATGAAGGATTTAGAATGTTGAGAAAAAAAAAAAGAAACTTTTTTACCAATAGTTAGAATAGTGTAATTTGCTCTTTCTCTTTTACTACATACTACTCGAAATTATCCGCAATGCAAATAAACATCGTTCATATGTATAGTAAAGAACTCACGACTCACAATATTCAATCTTTGACAACTGACGATTATGCATTTAATAAATTTAAAGTGATACGTCGGATTGTATTCATGAAAGACGCGCACTTGCGTATCTTCCTGTTTAGAGCGTGATGAATGCACAGAAATCAATTCGTTCTGAAGAATTAAAAATTTTTTTGATCCGATCAAATATTTATTCGATCAAATGACGTATTACGTATGTTAAGTGGTGGTATACGATAAAATGTGTGACAACCAAATATAATCGCGTGTTTACTGTATCAAAAAGCAACAAAAAAATAAACCCCAAAAACATAAAAATTTACATTAATATTATTAGTGTATACAGTATGAAGAATTAATAATTAAGTTTAAAAAAATACGGTATATTATATACAGTACAGTACGTTTGTACTGTATATTTCAGAAAAACAACCGTACAAGATCATACGAGAAATTTACAGTATATACAATATATACAATACACAGTATGCGTATTCTTTAACTTTAAAATATCATCGTGACCCATTGAATTTCAAATTTCCTGTACAAGGTGAAACGAGAGATCAACGATCGAAACGTTTCGTGCGATTTCGTGCAAAGGAAAGAAAGAAGTATCGGAAGGAGATGTTCTGATTAAAGCAACGTCTCCTCCGTTCGTCCGACGAGAGAGGGGAGTAAATTTCAATGATTTATGGGTTTTGGTGTAGGTACAATGCGATGTAAAGTGTGAAAAAATTGTAGGAAAAAAAAAATCGTCATCCCATAAGTACTCCATTATCAATAAAACGACCAAAGTCAATCTCTGATTGTGTACCGACAAAGTCTAA